TCTGACCCTGTCTGACCCTCTCTGACCTTCTCTGACCCTGTCTGACCCTCTCTGACCTTCTCTGACCCTCTCTGTCTCTGTCTGACCCTCTCTGACTCTCTCGGACCCTCTCTAACCCTCTCTGACCCTCTCTGACTCTGTCTGACCCTCCCTGACCCTCTTTGACCCTCTCTGACCCCCTCTGACCCTGTCTGACCCTCTCTGACCTTCTCTGACCCTCTCTGTCTCTGTCTGACCCTCTCTGACTCTGTCTGACCCTCCCTGACCCTCTTTGACCCTCTCTGACCCCCTCTGACCCTCTCTGACCCTCTCGGACCCTCTCTGACCCTCTCTGTCTCTGTCTGACCCTCTCTGACTCTCTCGGACCCTCTCTAACCCTCTCTGACCCTCTCTGACCTTCTCTGACCCTCTCTGACCCTCCCTGACCCCGTCTGACCCCCTCTGACCCTCCCTGCCCCTCTCTGACCCTCTCTGACCTTCTCTGCCCCTGTCTGACCCTCTCTGACCTTCTCTGCCCCTGTCTGACCCTCTCTGACCCGCCCTGACTCTGTCTGACCCTCTCTGACCCTCTCTAACCCTCTCTGACCCTCTCTGACTCTGTCTGACCCCCTCTGACCCTCCCTGACCCTCTTTGACCCTCTCTGACCCCCTCTGACCCTGTCTGACCCTCTCTGACCCTCTCGGACCCTCTCTGACCCTCTCTGCCCCTCTCTGACCCTCTCTGACCTTCTCTGACCCTCTCTGACTCTCTCGGACCCTCTCTAACCCTCTCTGACCCTCTCTGACCCCCTCTGACCCTCTCTGACCCTCTCGGACCCTCTCTGACCCTCTCTGTCTCTGTCTGCCCCTGTCTGACCCTCTCTGACCCTCACTGACCCTCTCTGACCCTCTCTGTCTCTGTCTGCCCCTGTCTGACCCTCTCTGACCTTCTCTGCCCCTGTCTGACCCTCTCTGACCTTCTCTGACCCTCTCTGACTCTGTCTGACCCCCTCTGACCCTCCCTGCCCCTCTCTGACCCTCTCTGACCCTGTCTGACTCTGTCTGACCCTCTCTGACTCTGTCTGACCCTCCCTGACCCTCTCTGACCCTCTCTGACTTTGTCTGACCCTCTCTGACTCTGTCTGACCCTCTCTGACTCTGTCTGACCCCCCCTGACCCTCCCTGACCCTCTCTGACCCTCTCTGCCCCTCTCTGACCCTCTCTGACTCCGTCTGACCCCCTCTGACCCTCCCTGCCCCTCTCTGACCCTCTCTGACCTTCTCTGACCCTCTCTGTCTCTGTCTGACCCTCTCTGACCCGCCCTGACTCTGTCTGACCCTCTCTGACTCTGTCTGACCCTCCCTGACCCTCTCTGACCCTCTCTAACCCTCTCTGACCCTCTCTGACCTTCTCTGACCCTGTCTGACCCTGTCTGACCCTCTCTGACCCTCCCTGACCCCGTCTGACCCCCTCTGACCCCCTCTGACCCTCTCTGACCCTCTCGGACCCTCTCTGACCCTCTCTGACTTTGTCTGACCCTCTCTGACTCTGTCTGACCCCCCCTGACCCTCCCTGACCCTCTCTGACCCTCTCTGACCCTCTCTAACCCTCTCTGACCCTCTCTGACTCCGTCTGACCCCCTCTGACCCTCCCTGCCCCTCTCTGACCCTCTCTGACTCTGTCTGACCCCCCCTGACCCTCCCTGACCCTCTCTGACCCTCTCGGACCCTCTCTGACCCTCTCTGCCCCTCTCTGACCCTCTCTGACCTTCTCTGACCCTCTCTGACTCTGTCTGACCCCCTCTGACCCTCCCTGCCCCTCTCTGACCCTCTCTGACCTGAATCTGGGTGTGAACCAGTGTTTGAACCACTGTCGTTCTGTTCAGTCCAGTGTTGGTTAGTCAGATCAGAGTTTTAGCGCCTCGTAGTGGTGCAGTAACACTTCATTCATGCTGCTGCCGATGGTCCGTGATGTAACTGATCCCTGGTTTTGGAGGAGGTGAATGAGGCGCGGAGGAAACGGCTGATTTCCCTCCATTTTCCTGGTGTTCAGTCGTTTATTTACATCTGAGAAGAGGTTTGTTCTGCCATTAGCTTCATGAGAAACCGGAACATTTGTAGAACCGATTTTCATTTTGGTGAAAAGAAACACACAGTTCTAGAGCTGCTGGCATTTATTCATTAATAGGTTTTGTTTCACTGCTGTCGTTACTGACACGTTGAATGGTGAGGTTGGATTTAACCCTACTAACCCTGACTTAACTCTAACCCTGACCTAACTCTTAACCCTGACTCAACTCTAACCCTGACTTAACTCTAACCCTGACTTAACTCTTAACCCTCGGACAATAATCAATCAATCCATAAATTCCAACAAACTGGATATATTTCCATGTTCATGTTTGTTCTCCTGGTTCCTCCTCCAAACAGTTCCTGGTTGGTGATGGTGGTTGGTGACGGTGCTTGTTTTGACACCGCACCATCACGTAGCTTAGCCTAGCGAGTGTTAAATCAGGTTAATCAGCTTTCAGCGTGGGCTCAGTCTGTGAAGTGACAGCTGCCGTCACACGTAAAGCTGCAGCAGGGAATTACACTGTTACAACACCCGGTTGTTACTCTGCTGTGACACTGTACACCAGTGTCCTGAAGTCCTGCTTTAGCTGTGGACTCCCTTCTCCAGTCAGCTGTGTGACACCTGACTGACCGTCTGACTGACTGACTGACCGTCTGTCTGACTGACTGTCTGTCTGACTGTCTGACTGACTGTCTGACTGTCTGACTGTCTGACTGTCTGACTGACTGTCTGACTGTCTGTCTGTCTGTCTGTCTGACTGTCTGACTGACTGACCGTCTGTCTATCTGACTGTCTCTCTGACTGACTGACCGTCTGTCTGACTGTCTGTCTGACTGACTGTCTGTCTGACTGACTGACTGTCTGTCTGTCTGACTGTCTGACTGACTGTCTGTCTGGCTGACTGACCGTCTGTCTGACTGTCTGTCTGACTGTCTGACTGTCTGTCTGACTGACTGTCTGTCTGTCTGTCTGACTGACTGTCTGTCTGACTGTCTGTCTGTCTGTCTGTCTGACTGTCTGACTGTCTGTCTGTCTGTCTGTCTGTCTGTCTGACTGACTGTCTGACTGTCTGACTGTCTGACTGTCTGACTGTCTGTCTGTCTGACTGACTGTCTGTCTGTCTGACTGACCGTCTGTCTGACTGACCGTCTGTCTGACTGTCTGTCTGACTGTCTGACTGTCTGTCTGTCTGTCTGTCTCTCTGTCTGTCTGACTGTCTGACTGACTGACTGTCTGTCTGTCTGACTGACCGTCTGTCTGACTGTCTGTCTGACTGTCTGTCTGTCTGTCTGGCTGACTGTCTGTCTGTCTGACTGTCTGACTGACTGACTGTCTGTCTGGCTGACTGACTGTCTGTCTGACTGACTGTCTGTCTGACTGACTGACTGTCTGTCTGTCTGTCTGTCTGACTGTCTGTCTGTCTGTCTGTCTCTCTGTCTGTCTGACTGTCTGACTGACTGTCTGACTGTCTGACTGTCTGACTGTCTGTCTGTCTGACTGTCTGACTGTCTGTCTGTCTGACTGACTGTCTGTCTGTCTGACTGTCTGACTGACTGACTGTCTGTCTGTCTGTCTGACTGTCTGATGTTCAGATGGAACAGCAGCAGAGTGGCTTAGTGGTTAAGGGGCACTTGGGTGTTGAAGGTTTCAGGTTCAA